CCCCACTCCTCCCCCAGGAGGTTGGTTAAATTTAAGAATCTTCTATATGTGTGCATTACTACATAAGCCATTCTTCGCTTGTGATCACTCTTCCAGGATTCGATTCTTCTCTGATCTTTAAAACCCAGCAAGCTAAATTACAATTTGATCTATGAGCTAAACTTTACAATTCCAGGGTTCGATGTGTGAGTTAGCCGAGTCCTTTGATCAGCTAAGATATCGTTTCAGGGATCGTTTTGTGAGTTAGCCTTGCCCTGACTTAGATCAGCCCAGAAGTTATTTCAGGGTTCGATAAAATTGAAAGGAAAAGGCAAGGAAACAAAAGGACAACATTTCAATCATGGATGCCATTTTTCAGTTGTGGTTTCACGCGTTTCATTTCATCGCATTTTCTCGTTTTGTTTATTCATTACTTTGGGTTAGATTAGCTTTTAGCAAAATGACTTAAAGTTTTAATCAGCAATAATATTTTATTACTCTGGTTTAATATTGGAATTCAAGGTCTATAGAAAATGCAAAACACCAAACTAAATTAAGTACTGAAAGTACTTCTGCACATGTGTCTTGAGGTACTTACATATAACGTCCTATAGCAGCCATGTTGGTTGATAATAACAAAGCATTCCTCACCAGCTTCTCCTGTTACGTCAACCAACATGGCGGTTATCTCATTGTTATTTACACCTATTTCGAAGATCGTTGTCGCACCAAGGGCCTCAAGTAACAAGCCAAGGCTTCAGAGAACGTCGGTACTTTTAATTATAATTTATTTATTCATGGTTCATGCAAGTGGCAATAGCTCTACACTAATTATCATCTCAAGCAGCCTTGCTTGGAGCAATTTGTGAAGTCAATAAATGAAAATGCACCATGAACAAACTAATTACAGCTAAAAGTACCAGCGTTCTCTGCGGTCTTGGCTTGTTGCTTGAGGCTTTTGGTGCGATAACTATTTCTGAAATAGGTGTTTATCTCAAGTGATTTTGAGTCATTATATGGTTGCACCCCAATAATATGAAAAGTGCGCACATGCTCTCCATAACATTCCATAGGCATGTGTATTAGACAATTTTGTGTTTTCCGGTATGGAAACAATTTGTTCTTTCTTGGTTGATGTGTTTTGTGCAACAAAACCCTATTTTGCTGCAACAAAACTGATTGTACGATTTCGCATGCTTGGTGGATGACAAACCAGCCAAATCGCCTTGTATTCAAATACGCACATAGTACGATTCTTGCTGTATTCAACCAATCTTGCTTGTTGTCTGATTCTTCGAATTCAGTTTCACTTCTTGCACCCTGGGGTCCAGAGGTTATTAATAATGTTCAAGTTAACTCCAGCATTTGCCGTTTTGACAAGAAGTCGCGAGCAGAAGTCAGCGATTCTCACGCGCCGCTGACACTCATCCAAACCTACTAAAGTCGAAATATCTAGAACCTCTAAGGTCAGGATGAGTTTACGCTGACCAGAATGAACGCAGGCTCCGGAAACAAAACGTTCAAAATGAATCAAGAATGCCTGCTTTCTTTAAGATAATGATCATGATTAATGCGAATACAAGTACGAAAATCGCTCTACATAATCTCGTACCCAGAGCTTGCGTTTCTTCTTGCCTGCCTGCCGCGAAGAACGAGGGCTCTGGCATAATCCGTTTTTTAGGACCAAGGTTTCTTCGACTTCCGGTATAAGAGCGCATGCGTTCATACTTGCCAAAAATTAAAATATTTTTTCCGGTTCACCGCAGTCTATAAGAAACGCAGGCTCTGGTATACGAGATTGCGCTCTACACACAAGTGCAAGTCATGCGCACGTGTTCTTAATAATAATTCCTGGAGCGCGCGCATCTGCTTTATGATCCAATGATAGAGCAGAAGACAAACCGGTCACTTACGATATATAGTTTATTTTTTACAGATGAATTTTTTGTATGTAAAATCTATTCTTATCAGTCATAACTTGAATTAAAACCATTAAATTTGATCGAACCCTAAGACAACCTCCGCGGGGCCAATCAAGGTGAGTTCCTGTAACGACTGCTCTGGGCTGATCAAAGTCAGAGCATGGCTAACTCACAAACTATTCCTGAAACGTTATCCTTGCTAATCAATGGGCACGGCTAACTCACAGATCAAACCTGGAGTTGGAATTCAGCTTCTTAGGTTTTGAGGAGCGGAAAAAATCGAAGAAAAACGAACTCTACTCGAATGAGATGCATGTCGATTCCAGGAACCGAATCCAAGACCCCAGAGGCCAGAGACGAGAAGCACTACTGACATCCTTCAATCCCCTGTGCCCAAGGACAAACGAACGATAGAAAAAAAGAAGAAGAAGAAGAAAAAAAGGCGTCCCACTCGTGGTTTGGGGATCCCACATGGACCAACGAACTAACTTGGATGGAATAACCATCGAAAGCTAAATACATCCACTAATCATAGCAAGAGGTTCATCATCTTTTGCAAGTAAGCTCACGATTGCCGATAGTTGGTGAAGTTTTTCTTTACAAGTCGGTGTAGAAATTCAAGTCCAAGATCTGAGATTCACAGTTCAAGATTCAAGGCTCAAGATTCTCAAGACTCAAGAATCAAGATTTCTGAAGTCAAGAACTGGAAGTTGTATCCTCCT